AGTATGAAGAAAGAAAAATGCGTTTCTCACTTTATCCCACCAGCACTATATATAATACAGTGAATATATCAGTGAATTTTGTTCCGAAACATGGCACAACAGGATTTAATTTGTTTCCATCAGTATCACCAATAAGTTTTTATGGAATTTGGCGATTCTTTCACTGATCTTTCTTGTTTATTCAGCTGTTATTTTTTGGCGGCAAAGCCGCTGTTTCGAATGATTTTCTCGGCAGTTCTGACCATCACCAAAAGACAAGGCCGATGAACTTGATTCCACGAGACAAAAGTGCCAGGTGTTTTAAATAATTTAGTGGTATTACGCTGTGCTTCTAGATCGTCTTTCCCGTAACTCTGTCATCAAACTTCGCGCCTTGTGTCTCCCTGCCACATCTTAACAATGTACACCGATCACTGCTTACCGTGCACTCGTCACTGTAGCAGCGCCTCACTAAGAGGCGTTTGCAATCTGCCGTGTTCCAAAATTTGTCGAGCATCGTCACTTCAACAATCCTTCGAATAAGCCTGGTTTCGGAACAATTCAGGTGAACGTTGCAGCATGGCATTGAAGCAGAATTGTTGTATCTATAGACAGAAAACGACTGTTGAACTGTGGAGAGCAGGGTTGACTTTGACTCAGAGTGAGGGTTCAACGGACTGCGCAACAAACGAATATATCCTGTCCAAAACATGCGTTCGTCGTGAATGAAGAGATCAAGAAAAGGAGGTCATTGATGCTAGTCAGTCAAACTAGTTCAGCATAGGTCATTTACTACAAGTCAGAAACTTCTTGTTGTCGCGGGAATAGGACAAACGTCGGCCATGTGGTCCATCATGCAACTTCAAAGTACAAGGTAGAGGAAAATCTGCTTTCGAGGTGAATTGATCCTTCTACTATATAGCAACTGACGCCCTTGCAGTCAACAGTGATTTTGCTTTATATCAATCTGAAATAAGTTTCAAACTGTCAGATATTATAAATTTAGATTGCTTTACTGCAGAAACTCTAATAATTTCAGGTGAGGATGATATAAGAGTAACAATCGGTGATTCATAGCAAGAGTATTGAAATGCAATGAACATTATAAACCCAAAGATGTTCTGTCTGCGCGAACTGCTCAAGGCAATATAGCAGAAATACGCACTTTTGGTCAATGTGAAACAGTGATGATCGTACGTAAATGTAGCTACCCATTACTCCTAGTTTTATTTCAATCATAAGATACCAGTTTAACTCCCGCATGTGGCGTTTGTGCAGCTGATACGAATGCATGTTTCGACGTTATGCCTATCATCATTCGAGAATCTCACCTACATATGTTGAAAATTATTTGCTGAACTCCAGTTAACTGATAGGCAGAGCGAAAGGCATATTCTTAAGAATTCTAAAATCTCCGTTTCTCAAGCTTGAAATTCGTGCCGCCCGCACAAGCGTATCACAAAAACGACTAAGCGCGCGTCTAAACTCATCATTGACAAAGGGAATGAGATATATGCAAACAACGCCTCTTCAGCCGTGCTGTTCTCATTGAACGCCTAACCAACATCGTGTTTTGTACAGTGTCGCCTGAAGATGCATCAAATATAATCCGAAACATTGGTATGCTATGTAATATTTGCATGGGCAGGAAACTCTAAGCAAACCTTAGTGATGAGGAACATGCATTACATCATTTGCTGTCGAATCTCAGTATTTCTTCCAAGAGAAACAAGAATTCTGAGTTTTTCCAAGCTGCCACCTCTAGCTCTTACCAGCTTAATGTTTATAAACTCAATTGTGAGCCTGCTATAGGTCATAACTCTAGAAATAAGACAGTACAGAAAATCTGGGATATTTCAGGAACGGATTTGCCATTTTTAGAACGCCAAAATAATTTCATTAGGCATGGAGTCAACATTCAATCCTGCGTAAAGAGCAGGCATGCACTCCATATTATTCACTTAGCACCTATCCTGCTTCGTATACGAATATCTTGTTCTGAGCTGTTTCCAGTCTTAAAGCCCAAACTACATCCATTTTAACCCAACCCCCCTGAGAAAACTGTTCACTAACTTAGTTTTCGTTATACTTTTTCAAAAATGGCTTATTTTTGTGCAATTTATCAGCAATTAGCCACTTTAGCTTTGATGTAATGCATTTATTTGCAAACAGCCCTAAAAAAGACTCCGTAACCAACGTCGAAACGATGAATGACGGTAAGGCCGTTGCGCCGTTAAAATATGAACAATTTAATATAATACCAATCTTGGTAGCTGATAGCCATAATACAACCTGTTTTACTGCAAATATATCACGATTAAATATAGGGCGATCATTTCTCATTCCATTCACAGCTTTGGTTTAACGAGTCTAACACAGATCAAGCAACATGGCATGCAAGTAGACGGTTACATCGAGCAACAATCTGATCGTCATAATTCAATGACTCCTCTGCGACAGTCCAAGTTAATCCTCTTTGCATACTCCCTGAACTTTCGTCTATTCGCTATTTCCCTGAACATGGTGGAAACCAGCGGGTGTTTCGGCAAAGCTTGCAACCACTGGCCAAGCAACTGATTGTACTGTTGTGCCAGAAGGAAAAGTACATCTGCCAAATGTTCCAAACAGCTGGTAAGAGGCTCAACCTTAATCCGCTCGAAACACGAAACGATGAGCAGAGTACCCTGTGTAGCGACGAGGTTTTCAACGAGACTACATTCGGCGTGCTTCAGAATTTCCAGAAGAAAATAAGTCGCCTTTTGAACAATGGGACTTTCGTTCAAACCAAGACTACGATAAGCTAGGTTAATGGTGAGGCTTATATTGCATTTTTTTTCAAGGAAACCCCAACTTTTCTTGGCAAGATGGTAGCAGAGATTCAGGAAAACGGTCAACTCTTCGGTGTGATCGGCGTCGCAAATATCGACCATGTTACAAGTGATGTAGTTGAAAAGCGAGGATAATGGTTCTGTCATTTTGTCGTCCGTAGAGAACAGCAGAAACAGATGTTTGGCGACCTGCAGGGCGCAGGCATGCGGAGGAAATATGGAAGCAATCAAATCGCAGTAGCTGGTCACCAGTTCATGCGCTCCATGCGTCAGGTTCACCAAGCCGTTCTGCAAAATGAGGCAGATCTTGGTGGCGACGCTACGACTTTCGTGACAGGGCTTCATCTGTTCCAACATCTGGAAGAGCGTGAAGCATCGTTGGAGAATGAAAAACACCGGGTGAACGACGTTTCCTGTGGCAGG